CCCCCCCCCCCCCCCCCCCCCCCCATGGCATGGGAGCATCCCAGTGACAAGGGCTCTCTTTCAGGCTCCTCCAACCCACAGCTGCCCACCCGGGGCCCTGAGCCCCCCCAGGCAGATACGGAGCTCTGACTGCCACCCGCTCCCCATTCACGTCAGCAGTGAGCCGCATCCTTCCCGTGGCCAAAAATAAATGTGAAAACCTCAGAGCTGATTTGGGGTATGACTTGTTCCTGTGGTGAGGACTGCTGCTCACGAGGGAGCTCGTGTGTCAGCACTGGCACGACGCAGCTGTTGAAGCCATGTGAGGGATCAGATGGGAAGCACCCATTCCCTAACTCTAACCCTGACCCTAACCCTAACCCTAACTCTGCCCTTCCGTCCCAGTTTTGCTCCCAGTTTTGCCCATCCCCCACACACCCTCTTTAGCCACAGCTCCATCTGCCCAAGCATCAGAGATGGCTCAGGGCAGTGGTGCATTCCTCTCTGACTACAGGAAATGAGAGCCTGAGTGATGCTATGGAAGCACTTTGCTCAAGGACCACAACTTCCACACCTCCTTGCAAGGCTCTGCAAAGGGATGAAGCTGACAAAGCTGGGGCTGGGTGGTGGAGCAGAGTCTTGGGCTTCCCAAGGAGCAATGACCAGGAGAGGGGAGCCAGCAGCCATAGGAAGGGACAGAAGGAAACTTCCCATTCTTTTTTATTTGTGTATATTTGTAATGATGACGGGAAGCTTTTCCTGAAGCTGATATAAACACTGTGTGCTCTCTTTCTAAATCAAAGTGCCTGCAGCCATGGTACACTGCCATTTCTTCACAGGGAGCAAAGCATGAGACCAGTGCTCCAACACAAACAAGGGGCACTTTGATCTATAAATGCTCACAGCCTACCAGCAACAGCAGGAGTGGCTTACACACAAGATCAAATATTTCAGCATCAATATCCTGTCGATAAAATGTCAGATTGTGCCAGAATGCGTATTTGATCCGCTCTCCACCCACCTGCACTCTCCATGGCTGGGCTGGGGCTGCAGCAGAGCGTGGGCACGGCTGCAAGGCTGCTGAGTGCACGGCTGCTGCTCACTGCGCACGGGCATGGCCTCGGGTCCGGGGTCTCACCTGCAAAAAGCACAGGGTGCTGTCAGCTGTACCTGCAAAGGCAGGGCAGGGAAACGGAGCCCAGGGCACAGGGCTCTTGGCACTTAGCCCTGAGGTACCAGATTGGTGTTTGCTGGGGAAAGGCTCAGCTTGGAGCTGAATCCAGAGGAGCTCTTGGTACCCACAGCAAGGAGGATCAGCATCACTATGCGGGTCATCACTGAGAGCCTTCTCCTCCCCAGGAGTTAAGGAGAAATGTTTGGGTTTAAGCCAAATTGAGTCCAAAATGCAAAGTCCAAGAAGACAAGGAACATATGAAAAAGACAAGTGGAATAGCCATAAGGCCCCTGTCCAGCACCTCTGAGAAACAAAACCCAGTAGAGCTCAGTAGCAAGCCATGCTCCAAAGCCTGGTGTTGGACGGCATAGAATCATAGAATCAGCAAGGTTGAAAAGGGCCTCCAGGGTCATCCAGACCAACCATCCACCTACCACCCACTAAATCATGTCCCTCAGTACAACATCTAAGGCACCCCTTTCCATCAAGCATTGCTCTCTCCAACAAAAGAGGAAAAATAAAGCAGGGAGGAAGAAAGGGAGGTTCCCCTGTGACACAGCATCCAGTCCCCACCCATGGGACCCTCAGTCCTCCAAATCCCTCCAGGCACCATCAGGCCATCAGCGCATGCTCTTCCTCACATCCTTGCTCTATTTAGGATTTGTTCTCCACAGAGATCCTGAATCTGTAATTACCAAACACAGAGCATCCTGCTGGGCAGCTCCTGGCCGCATTGATGCCCACCAAGGTGCTCCCACTCCTCCTTGCTACGAGCGCCACGCATCATGATAGAGGTCGGCACCGTGGCTCTCAGCGCATTATTTCCTGCAGGAAAAAGTCCCCCAGAGGGGCCAGGTGCGTGCAGTGCTCCTCAGTGCCCGCTGAAGTGAAACGCGTGTCGGCTGTGAGCGGCGTCGTGGCTTCCCACATCCGCGTCCCACCTGCCCGCGCGTGGGAGGGGACCCAATGTGCAGTGCTCATTTTCCAGATTTAGAATAGGACCTGGGTTGAGGCGAGTGGTTCCGGACCCACGGAAATATGCTTCTCATTCTTCTGCTCACTGCTCTGCTGCTGTCCTTGCTGCCTGCACAGCCTGGAGGTGGGACAAGCAGCCCCGCATGCTCCAAGGATGCAGCTCCCCAGGAAAATTCTACCAAAAATGCCCCCAGACTGATCCCCAGCGTCCATCAGAACAAGCAGAAGTTATGTGAAAAGAGGCACTGGAGGACACAGAGAGAAGGTGTGGGGTCAGCTTGCTCCCCACCAGCACCAGCAGCTGGTCCCTGCTCATCCTGGCCATAACCAGCACAAGGACCTGCTGGGCAGAAACCACTCCTTTTTCACAGGGGACATTTTCTTCCTGCTGTGCTCCACAGGAGTACCAAGAGGCAAGGAGGGAAGGGACATGGGGCTGAAGATGGGAAGAGAAGAGTGGCACCAGGCCCCTGCATCATGCCCGCTCCACCAACCCAGCCCAAACCCAAACCTGACAAGGAGGGCTTTGAAGAAGCAGGAACACATGCTGCAACCAGGACTCAATTCCCCCTCTGTGTAGAGCCCTCACAGACAGCACAGACAGGAGCCCAGGCTTTTTTTTTTTTTTTTTTTTTTTGATCAGCAGCAGCAGGGAGATAACCCAATTTGCCCACACAAAGCCAACACAACTGATGGAGAAAGATGAAGACACCAACCTCCACAGACCCAGCACACTTGGTCTGCTTCAGATGAGGTTTACAGCTGCAACAGCCACGTCCTTTGTCCCTTACCCATGCAGATGCAGGCTGCTCCCATGCAGCTTTTGAGTGGCATCAATGAAGCCAGGCTGATCTGTGCTAGATGACCACGGTACCATGGTTCACAACCCCAGGAAGGAGGCTGCCAACCCATGTTGGGCTTGGCATCTGAGTAGGAGGGAAACCTTGGCCACCACCAGAAGCCTGCAGGGCCACAGGAAACATCTCAAGCACCAGTGCCAAACTCAGAGCCATTGATTTGGGTGAAAATGCATTTTAGCAGATGTGCGCAACTGCAGACATGGAGACACCAAGGCTGGTGTCACGGCAGCGGCTGATGCTGCACCACAGCACCCATTAATGGGGTCCCCAGTGCCGTGCCAGGCTGGGACAGGATCTGCCCCAAACACCCATGCCACGTTCCCCTGCCTTCCTCAGACACAGCAGCCACAGATGGAGACCCTCACCTGGCAGACAGCCTGTGAGAGAACGCCATGGGCTTTCCTGGTACCTTGCCCTGCAGTCCGGTGGCACCAACCCCATCTCACCCCAAACCCACACCTCCCCACTGTACACGGGGACCCACAAGGAAGACCCGCAAGGAAGACCCTGTCCCCTATCTTGCTCCGGGCCTCACTCACCTCCCGCTGTATCCTCCCAGCTCCCGGCATCACCGCGGGGCGCAGGATGGGCTCATGGTGAGGAGGAGGAGGGTGCGATGGGCCAGGAGCCAGCAGGCAGCAGCGGTGCCGAGCTCTGCTCTATGTGCACGCGTGAGAGCTTGCAGCTCAGCGGCCACAAGCCTGGCCCAGAAAAGGAAGGGCTGTTGGGCCCCAGGCCGTGGGGAGACGGCTGAGCTGAGGGGAAATGCGACGGCGCGGTGCAAACACTGGCCCTGCAGAAGTGCTCAGTTCCCCGAGTCACACCACTCCTCCTTCTGCCCCCTCCTCCCCACGCATCTCTTCCCTCCTCTGCAGCAGCCATGAGACACATCTCATCCCGTAACTGGTTATTTTGCTGTCTGCCAGCTCAGCAAGACCAGCGGCTTCTCCGCACTCATCCCACTTCTCTGCAGAGCTGCCGAGCCCCGCTTCCTCCCTGCAGTTCTTAAAATACCCATAGCATCAGCTGGATTTTAGTTCGTTTGCAGGGAGAAAAATCAGCAGAAAGGGTGAGAAGGAAAGTCGCATCCCTCCCTTCAGTTTCCAAGAGCTACGAGGCTTTTAGAGATGAAACCTGCACGACTCCAAAGCCACCTCTCCCAGGAGCTGAGGCAGAGATGGAAGCCATCTGGCTGCATTAAGAGAAATGAGGAACTTTGCAGTGAAAGCACGGTTTGCCCCAGAAACAGGCTGATATGATCACGGATGAAGAGGCTTTGCAGCCTCATCTTCCTCTTCCAAACCTGCAGGGTGTCAGCAGCAGTGTGAGCAGAGCACCAGCAGCCCACCCTACACGCTTCTCAGACAGTCCTGTAGGTCACCAGGAGGCTTTGCTGACAGGCTGGGGCCCTGGGGGTATTGATTCCCCCCTTAGCTCCCATCTATGACTCTTCTAAGCTCTGGGGTGAGGTTGGAAGTGCTATGGCAGAAGGATGGAGACATGCCCACCCACGTGAGCCATCCCAGCCCCACTGAACTCAGTGGGGTGACTCAGCTGTCCCCAGCAGCGCTTGACTTGGGGATGCATGGGCACCCTGAAAAACCTGCTGCTCTTTTTCAAGGGCCACCAGGAGCTGGCAGAAACTTCGGAACACATTTGAGGGGAGCTGAGATGGCACCCATAGGAGGAGCAAAGCAGAAGTGCCCAACACCATGGCGGAGAGCCCAGAGCCAGAGGGAAGACCTGGGAAGCTCAGTCACTCCATCAGACCTGCTGAGCACAGCCATCCCCTCTGGCAGCTCTGCCATGGACACAGGTGACAGAGCAGGGCAGGTGCAGCCCATGCTGCACACACTTTTGCTCTCCCTGCGTTATATTTAGTCCTGCTCCAAAGGCGGTCTCTCCACGCCTCCTGCAGCCCTGTATTTGGTTACACGGCTCTGCCTGAGGCTTCCTGCAGCTCTTTATCAGCTCAGTGACAGATGCTTGCCAGGAAAAACCCATGTACTGCACAGGAACGGGGCAGCACTGCACAGCGCTCTCAGGCGATGGCAAATAATGGTGTGTGTTTGACCCATTGGATAAACACAGCACTCGAAACAGCAAAAATACACAGCAGGTTTGGTAAAGTTTGAGATTTCAAGAATGCCCCAAAAATCATCCCTCAAACCAGGGTTACAAACACAGGGTCCCATGTCCCACTAGTTTTGTATTTTTGTTCCACTTTTTTTTTTTTTTTAATGTTTTAGGAAAAATATTAAAGACTGAAATGTTTTGTTACCTGCATATCAACGATACTGCAGGGTTCTCAATGATATCAACGACATGAGAGCTGCTCCAAAAGTAACGCCTCCTGTTTTGTGATGTTGGCCCACAGTGTCAGAGGCAGATGTTGGTGGGATGGCAGTAGAGCCTGAACCTTCTCACCAATATCCTGTTACATTTAGTTGCTGTGTGACAGAGGGCAGCAGAGGGGCACTCACAAAGACACCTGACATGGAAGTGCAGGTGAAGCAAAGGGGGAAAACTGAGTTCCTCCATGTGCAAAGGACAGACAGGAGGAGGCATTAATTTTAGAGAAACCTATGATGTAATTCCTCTTCACTCAATGCATGCCAGACAAGGTAGGGAAAGCTACCATCATCCAGCTTCTGCCCATGCCACCACCACCTCAGCCCCACAGCAACCAAAGCAGGGAAGGGCTGGCAAGGACTGTGGGCAGCACTGAGTGAGCTGCTCTGCAATGGAGCATCCCAAGGGAGATGGGGTGTGTGTTGGGCTGGGGGGACACGGAGCACATGTCCTCATTGGGGACCAACAGATGTCCCCAGTGCAGAGCAAAGGAGAACTGGCCACCCCCTCACTGCCCCCATGGCTGCCTCCAGCCAGCTTAGTTAGGAAAGCAGCACAGTGATGCTGTGTCAGATGTTACCCACAGCCATGAGTCCTTCCAGCACTGAGAGCCAAGGAGGGTTGTCCCTGCAGGAGCTGAGGGCTGTGACCCCAACCCGACCCAGCTGCCTGGTATCCCATGCTGGTACTGCCCAGACAGACCCCAAAATCCCCAAATCCCCAAATGCTGCATTGGGAGCCAGGGTCACAATGCAATGCTACAGCAAGATCCACCAGCACAGCACACCAGAACCCTCTCTTTAGCCGTGCAGAGCTGCCAGCACTGGGCTGCTCTCTTTGGGCCAGATCTCCACCTCCAGCCCTGCCACACAGCCTGGGTGGCACACTGGGACCAAAGCAGCCCCTGCACAGGGCAGCAGCAGCTCCAGATTCCACCAGGGACCCAAGCCACAGACAGCAATGCACACACAGCTCAGGCTCATCTCCCCTTAGATCAGCCCCTGAGCACAAGTGTCACAATTAAAATGAAAACTATGCCAAACTCACATGAAAATCACCTGAAGACCTTGTGTGAGAGCCACACTCCTGTCCCCATTCCGATCGGTGGGGGGGACACCCCCAGGATAAGCAGCAGAGCCACGCGCAGTCCCTTCTGGCCCCATCTGCAGCCTCAGCTCGTGGCAGGTTGGTGGCTTCAGGCGGCCCCGTAGGAAAGCAGCTGCTCTCCCCAAGACTCTCCCTGCCAAGGAAACGCGTCCCCAGCTCAGGCTGTGCTTCCCAGCAGCACTTTGCTGGGCTGCTCCAGCACGGCACGTCCCTGCCAGCAGACCCACAGCACGGGGTGGGCAGGAAGGACCTGGCTCAGCAACCGAACCCTCTCAGAGCCCACATCCATCTGTTCGCCAGCACTGAATGGCCCCGATCCCGTCCCTAAGGCTGCCCTGGAAATTGAGCTCTTCCTGGACACCAACGGCTCGTTGGAGATTTCCTCACCAACGTCACATTGCATTTTTTCTAAGGGAAGAAACAAGTTTTCCGGACACATCGGCTTTTTCGATTTAGAGTCTCTCTTTCCATTCCCGGAGTGAGCTTTGGATAAACAATCGGAGGGAAAAAAGCTCTGCCAGGATTGCTCACACAGAGTGCTCAGGGGAAATGGTGCGCAGTGCAGCCCCGCAAACCGCGGGCAGTGCATGGGGAAAGCAGCCTCGTGTTGGCTGCAAATCCCTTATCCCTTGCTAAGAAATGTGGGGCTCAAGTGGGAATTTGGGGCATGTTCACCTCTCACAGTGTGCAGCAAACCCCCCCCCAGGCAGCACCGGCAGGATCTGAAGAACTGCAGTGGGGCCCCACGTGCAGCACCCAGCGCAGCGCAGCTCTCCCAGCAGCTCCTGCCCAAACCATGGTTGATGGACGGCGCTGCCTTCAAGGCATGTCACACCTCAGAATAGAACAACGTGACTCAGCCAACTCGGCAGCTGCCTTCTGCACAGCCATTGGCACCGGCAAAGCTCACAAAAGCAAGAAAGCAACGGGGAGGAAAGTACTCAGGGAAACAAACCCCAGGAGGCCTCACATCTGGGTAGGGGGACACAGACACGCCAAGGGGCTCCTTGGATCAGCTCCTTCATAAGGACTTGGAGGTGAGGAGCTGTATTTCTTGAAAAAATTGGAGCTTCTTGCTCTGGGCACATTGGGCTGCAGGGGAGGAGCTCTGCCACCACATCCCAACCATGAGCTCACACAGCAATGACTGATACTGCTGCTGCTGCTGCTGCACCCACCCCATGTCCCAGAGAGCAATGGGAGCTCAGAGCACCCCAGAGCTGGGGCACGAGTGTTGCCTTGAAGTGGGACAGCGTCAGACACGAGGAGCACGTTGCAGGACTCTGTGTGGGAAACCACTCCAACAGAAATGTTGAAATTGGAGCTTCCCCAGCAGAGAGATGGGCAGGCTGGTGTCTGGTGGTGGGCCGGGTGCTTCCCTGCAGCTCTTACGTGCAAAAGTAAAATAAAATAAAATTAAATTAAAAAAAGAACAAGATAAATATATACGTATATATATAGCAAAAAATATAGTGATTTTGTGTAATGCAACAGCATGAACAGAGCTTCCCATAAAGCCCCGGAAAACGACAGTTTGCTGCCCTATGCCACCATGGGCAGCACAACAGCAGTGACCCCTATTTGCTCCCACTGCAAGCTCAGCTGTGAGGGCTGAATGCTGTCCTTGGATTTGGATCATCCATAGAGGAACTGCTGGAGAAAGCCGGGAGAGCCACGCACCCACTGTGTAACGCAAGGACCGAGTACACACACACACACAAAAGGAATTGTAATGCGCAGAGGTGATCCATCAGCCCTGGAAGCCCAGAGGAGATTGTTTCCTTGCTCAGACTTGGCAAAGAGGCAGAGGGGGAGGCGGTGCTGTGCAGATGAAGGAAGGGCTGCACCGTGTCCCACGAGCAGCGCACCCGGCGGCTCTTGTTGAAACGCAAACCGCCAGCGCTCCACTTTTCAGTTTCCTTTCCGGACGGGGCTGCTGTCTGCTCCGTGCTGTCACCACAGCTATCGCAATTTACTGCCATGACCCAAGGGGCGGCTGCAGGTTGATGAGGGGGCACGCAATCGCTTGGGCGGGCAGGCTGGGTGCGAGCCCAACAGCAGCAGCAGTGGAGCACTGGGTGCCCAGCAGCACCGGGCACCAGGGGGGCCATCCCCACGTCCCTCTGCCCCAGCACCTCCAGTGCCCTCTCCCCTCGCTCCCCCCGGTAAAAAAAACCGCACCGACTCCGTTCAGGCCTTCCCAAGGATCTTACCCGCGGGGATGCACCGCGTATTCCCGCAATTCCACCCTCTGTGCGCGATGCCCATCGCGGCCCGTACCTGCGTGCCCCGCGGGCTCATCCGGAGCAGCGCGGCGAGACCCAGAGCTGCCACTGAGGTCCGCAGTGCCGGCGATGCGGCCGCACGCAGCGGGGCGAGGGCAGCTGTTTTCGAGACAACTTCCTCTTTCAAGCTGAAGCCCCGAATGGAAAGCTGCCGTGCCGCGCTCAGCCGCCGCTCTCCGCCCCGTCCCTGCCCCGCAGAGCCGCTCCGGCACCGCACCGCACCGCCCGGGCTGCCCCGCGCCGGGAGCAGCCAGTGTTGCTACGAGAGACAAGGAGGAGTCTGTCCGAGCTCCAGAGCGAAGTTTTGTGCGCTGCCAGCGCTGGCATCCCGCCGTGCGCATCTGCTCCGCGCATCTACAACGCGCGTCTGCTCTCCGCCGCCGTGGGACGGTGCCCCCCGCAGCCCCCCGCTGCCAGCTGTGGGGACACCCGACCCCCCTACTCCCTCAGGGATGGGGGTCACGGGAAATTCGTCACCGCGCTGACACGGGCCTGGTGCAGAGCTTTGCTGCTGCTCAGCGGTGTCACGTTGTCCCCCACCCGTGAATCGGCGGCGGGGCTGAGCCGAGATGCGGCCGCGCTGGGGGAGGCTGCAGGTGAGGCTGCACGGAGCTGAGCCCGTTTGTACAGCTGCATTAGCACGGCTGGGGCCGGCTCAGCACCCAGGAGCAGAACGCTTCAGGCTCCAAGCAGCTTTGGGGCACACTGCTGACACAGGGCATGGGGATGGCAGCCAGTGCTGTATCCCATCCCACCTTCTTTTTTGCAAGCAAAAAAAAAAAACACCTGGGCCCCAGTTGTAAAAATAACCCACTTCCTTCCTGCCCAGAAGAGAAAGGCCGGAGGTGGCTGCTCAGCTGCCTGCTGCTGCTCACAGCCCCCTGCCACGCTGGTGCCAAAGGGGGGCTCAGCTCTGCATGCCCCACACACACAGAGCAATAATACCCACATTTCTCCTCAACTGGGTTCGTTCACACTCCATTCATGAAGGACCTGGCCGTGGTGTGGATGCGTGGACAGGGCAGCAGAGACACATGCACGTGGGGTTACTGTTTGCAGTAGGTTTTTCCCCACCAGTGTCACAATTCGCTTCTCCAGCGTTCTGTGGCTCAGGTTTGGGCAGAGCCATTTGACAGCTTACATCCACACATCCTGCTGCCATGCTGCATCCATCCTGCAGCAGGCACCTGGTGTGCAGGAACTGCTGCAGCCAGAGGCTGTTTCTCACACAGCTGCCAAAGCCGCAGAGGGGATGAACCCCTCAGTGCCACCACCTCTGGGGTTCTGACCCCAATTTCATTTCACTCAAGGATTTTTCTGGAAACCTTCCATGCCTGTGAGCTTTGTCCCTGGTTTCATATGGGGACAGCAGCAGGATTTCATATGGGGTCATATTTGCTCATGGCAACCCGAGTAATGGGGAGGAAGCAGTTGGTTCCCTGTGTTTTCCATAACAATCTCTGTCCAAGCAACACAACAAAGCACTCACCTGAAGCACCACTTCAGGAGGGGTTTTCCAACTCGGAAGGAGTGCTCTGCCCAGCCTGGGGCTTTCCTGCTGAGGAGTGGCACACTGCTCTGTATGATTTGAAAACACACCAGCAATGGTGAGCATGGACTTGTACACCCAATGGCCCACAGCACAGTGCTGGGACCAGCTCCCTCCCAGCCGTTGCTCTTCAGTGCTCACCACTGTACCATCACCCTGCGCCCACCTCCAAAGCACAAAGCTCTTCTTCAGTCAAAGAGGAGCTCTGGAGAACCTCTCTTCCTGCTCTGGTTTCTGTTCACAGATAACTTCATTCTTCCATGCTTTAACTTTCTGTCATTGCGTGGCTGCTGTCACAGCAGACCCAGCAAGCTGGCCGAGTTTCTGAGGGAAGGAGAGGTATTTGCAGGAAGAAAAGGACGCAGTCTGAGCGCTGCTCCTGCCAAACCACCCAGCCTGCAGGGAAGGCTCTGCTGGCCCTCATCTGAACCACCATGGCTAAAGCCAAAGGATGGTTTTCCTTCCATTTGCAAGTGACCAAGTCACAGACTGAGCAATACTTTATGTCACATCTCAACCCGGTCAGACTCTGGTTTATTCTATCTTTAACAGAGAGGATGGAGATATAGGGGGGAAAAGAGAACCCAAGGGAACAGCTGGTTTTGTGGCCTTTTTGGTTTGTCCCAACCAAGCTACCTTCAAGACTTTGTGAAAAGCCCACAGCAAGAAGCAAGATAATAATAAGGCATGGGCTTTGCAAGTCTGAGCAGCATCAGCGTGTCTTGCAAGGGTGGATAAAGGCTTATGCTAAAGTACATGTGCTAACAGCAGGAGGGATGACTGCTCACCTCTAGGATAATACGGGCTAGAAAATCATAGCAAACAGCTTGAGCAGACAGCTGATAAGAAACCGCTGCGCCTGGAATCACACCAACAGGCAGTGATGGAGCAGCCAAGGCAGCATCCAAGGAGGTGGATGTGGGTGCTGCAGCCACTGTGTGCTGCTGGCACCAAGATCAGCTGCTGGACACCACCTCCAGATCTGGCTTTTTGTGCAGACCTGAAGTGCTGTATGCACGTAAGCCAAGGGCTTGCATTTCTGCTCCCAGAAACGATGTGGGTGCCAGGGCAGCAGGGCTGCTCCCACAGTGGATTTTCAGGCTGCACGAGCTCCGGTTTCCATCCCATGGGGTGGGGCAGAGCAGGGGCAGGTTGTTGCTTAACCCCATGCTTGCTCACGTGGGCAGGGATGGGCCCAGAACCCATTCAGCACAAGTACACAACTGGGCATGGCAAGCATCCCTGCCCTGTGCACAGCCACAGGAGCTCAGAGCCAGGCTGCATCCCAGCATCCCCACATCCTCATCACCCCTCAGCCCCATGTGTTGGCCTCCACTGCACTGCAGTCTATGGATATATAAGGATACTACCTTTAAATTCTGATTTTCCTACCCAGTCACTTTCCTCCTCTGCTCAGCTTCACCTATGAAAACAATTCAGGTGTCATCTGCTCCATCACCCACCTCATTCATGAAAACATGGGAAGCACCACAGTTACACAGCAGCCTTTCTCCCCCTCCCTAAACAACATGGGTATAATGTGCTTTGCTCCCAAGAGATCCCTCATTTCCCCATTGTTTGCAGGTCCTTGCAATGGGTTGGTTTGCACCCTCCTGGCAGTGGGATCAAAGTGAAGGCACTGCCGTTCCCTTACCTACCATAAATGCTGCTCCATCCCTTGTCCTTTTTAAAGCCAGGGGTGAAGAACTGGGGAAGGAAGGAAGGAAGATGGGAGAAAGCCACAGAGGAGGAATAAAGCCCCCACAATATGGGGAACTCTGAAATTGCCCAGCAACCACCCAGAGCAGTGAGAACCTGAGGAGCACGGGGTGAGCACAGCCCTGGAAGGACACTGGGTGTATGTCGGAGTGAAACCCCCATTCAGAGCTGCACGTGTGCGCAGGGCCCGGCTGCGGGGGTTGCTTTTGTTTTTCATGTGTCTGCTGGAATAGAAACTTGACACAAAGAGCATGCAGCTACCTGCTGGGTTCGGCCATGTGTTGACAAGCAGACTGTGTCCGTGTCGCACTGCTGTGCTCAGCGATACACTTGGGCACGTCTGTTTGAGTAACAGAGGCTGGTGCTGCACACAGACCCACCCACTCTTTTACCCTAAAACGCGGGGAGCTGTTCCCAAACCCGCAGCAGGGAGCTCAGTGCAACCCTTCTGCCCACATATAACTTATAACTTATAATATAACTTATAACACATAACTTATAACACAGTAAGCACATCTGTGTGCAGACGTGTCTTGGCGGCACGCAGGCTTCAGCCATGATATAGCACAGATGGCTCTAAGAGGGGCAGAAGTTGGCTCCAAAGTGAAGATTGGCACGTATTTCCTCCTGTGATGGCTGTGAAGTTAAGCAGAGGAAGAATCCCTGCTGTATGCAGACTGCTCGTGCCAGGCCCCAGCACATCACATCTTGGAGGGGCCACACGCCCATGGGTCACTCTGCTGTAGGGGCAGGGGCTCACAATGGGCTGCAGGTGTGCACATAGAGGCGCTGCCCCTTCCTTCATCCCTTGCATCACCTCCTGGGGACCGTGCGCTAGAGAAGGGGTGCAGCTGGAGCTACCCCACTGCTTCTTGTTGGTAACAGTGCCCTGTGCCCCATTAAAACTGCCCCGAAAACACCAGCAAAACTGCTTTGGGATCACATTTCAGCTGGGTTCCTGGGCAGGGAGGCTCCCAATGGGCTGAGCTTTGTGCAGTTTCTTCGAGGAACCTCTCACAAGGGTGTCCTGTTCTCAGGTGGCTTAGGGCCATGGTTGGTTATAAGTCGACACAGAAACCAACTATGGGAAAGAAAGGCACTGTTGTACAGGAAAAGGCTCTTTCAGAGTGAGGCAGTGCCCAAGCCCTGGCTCTGCAGACAGATCTGTCCTCACATTTCTGGCTACAGGGGCAGTGCCTCAGCCTGCGGTTCAGACAGCCCTTCTGGAAAGACTCTGCAGTCAGTGCACAGGCACAGCATATTGAGCACATCTCAAGCAAGGAAAACAGCCATGTCCTCTGCCAGGTTGCTGCCAGGCCAGGTCTGACCCCTTCTGAGAGCCACCAAATTCCTAAGCCAGGAGCAGAGGGATCAGCAAGGAGCGAATTGTGCCCACAGCGAGCGCTGACACGTGGGCTGTGTCTGAGCACACTGATCCTTACGCATCTTTGTGTTGTTGGCACATTGCTCCTCTTCTCGAGTGAATTTTCCCTATTGGAAAACTGTTCTTCATCCAGGCACTGGGAGCCTCATGAACTTTTAATTGATCATTAATTAGCAGAAGTGAGATAAGGACAGCGGAGCAGCAGGCACTGCCAGGTGAGCACCAGCCTCCTGTGGTGTTCTGCTTCCTGGCTCTGCTCTCACCAATCCTGAACAAAGCATGATCCCGAGGCACGCAGGAGTCACCTGCCCTACTCAGACCTCGGCACTGGCCAAAACCCTTCAGAAATGAGCAAAACTCACAGCAGACTTCCACTCTTTTCTACCTGCAACTCCTTGAAAGCATGACGCTGAACCACGCTTTGGAAACCAGCAGTCCAGGAAGGAAGCAGCCTCACCTCTGCTTCTCCTTTTTCCTCCTGAAAAGATATGAATTGTGTTGGTGAACCACTGCGAGATCAGGCAGTGCCAGAGGGTGTACACAGAGGAGTGTGGGCAGGGAGCCCAGCTGGGCTGAAGGACACCTGAGCTGCAGCGATGGACGCACACAGAATGGGAAGCACAGCACTGCTGGGCTGGGACTTCTACCAGGAAGGTGCAAGGGGAAGCTTTTGCAGTGGCACTGCCAACAAACAGCACAGTGAGCATGAGGAAGGGATCAGAGGTGCTGAGCTGCACACACCTATGGGCAAGTCCCTGCACCTGGGATGTGACCCACGGCACCCAGCCTAGCACCAGCTCAGCCCATCTGTGGCAGATGGGTGGGTTAGGGCTTTTTTGTCTATACAGCACCCTGATCCTCACCCCTACCAGCTCAGCCTTGAATGCACTTCAGGAAGAGAAAGGCACACACACAGATCTCACACATACAAACTCTGCAAGCTTCTCTCCTTAATCCAGAACAAAGCTGATGTGGGCGTTACAGCACTGCATCTTGCTTCTGAGCTCAATTCGCTGCTGCAGGTCTCGATTCCGTGCCCTCTGGCACCCAGCTCACAGCCATGGCGACCTGATGGGCTTTTTCCTGCCCTCAGATCAGTGCTCTGCAAAGCACTGAGTGCCCTCTGTGCACAGATACGAAGCTGTGCCTTCCTCCTGCTGGGGAGCACTGACACAAACACCATGCCTGTACTCGAAATAAATCCTCCTTTAATATCTTACAGTTACTTTAAAAGTCCTTTAAACGCTATTTTACAGATCAGCACAAACGTGACACAGGTTTGGTAAGGCTGCACATATATGTACAAGGACGGCCTGAAGGAACCTTCCACTTCCTTCTTTTCATTTCCAGAAAGCATCAGAGGTCAAAAAATGAGCCAGGATTACGAGTCCCCAGAGGGTGTGCTTGTTTTTCCTCCCCAGCGTAGAAACTCTTCTCCTGTAGTTCTATACGGCCAGCTGAGACCAAAGAGCTTTGCACCACCGACAGCAGCAGGAATATATTTAGCCACGGATGTAGGGATCACAAATAGCACTGTTTTGACAGGATAAGGTGCTATTTTAATGAATTGAACAACAACTAAAGAAAAAAAAAACAGCTGTCAAATTTCAGCCCCATTGGAGACAACGCACACAAACCTGTCTGGGAAACGTGAAAAGTCAACGGGAAAACTTGTTTAAAATCTGATCCCGGTCCTCAGAGCCTCTTGGACTTAAAATGCTCCAATGTCACCACCAAGGGGAACACAGCTGCTGTGCCCACAGGCCTTGGGACGGAGCCCAGTCTCACTCCAATTAGTGCCAAGGGCTGCCCAGGCCCCATTTGCTGGAGCACCCAGATGGAGCAGAGCTCACCGTGGCTGAGCCCTGCAGCCTCAGCAGGATGGAGTCCCTTCCAGATGCCTCCCAGGGAGCACATCCTTGGTGTTGGCATACTCCTAGCCTGCAACAGGCAGCATGCTCTTCTGCCAGCCATTGTTAGTGCAACCACCAGCTAACTTGAAATAACCTGAGAGTTGTCAAACCAAGCAAGGCACTTCTAGCCTCATTTATTGTTCCTGGGGTGAAAATACTTCCGAAAGCTCCCAACTATTGCAAATTTCTGTACCTAAGGCCTCACAGAGAGAAAGAGGGGGGTGGGGGGGAACCTCTCTTTGCAGGGGAGAGGGGATCTCAGAGCCTATCATTGCCTGCAAGCATCACTAGTGTTATTGGTGCTGGGTCCTTCTCCACCAAAGCCACACCCTGAGGTGAGGCAAGGCAATCCTAGCACTTTACCCAGTACTCCCCTCCCTCCTATGAGCACGAACATGGTTTATGCTCTATCTCAAGCACCTATAGAGCATTCAGCCTCTGGGATGTCTCTAGCACTCATGCACTGGTGAGCAGGATGCAAGAACACCAGCTGAACAGCAACTCCATCTCCCTCCTGGATGAACTCTGGAGCTCTGCAAGAAGTGGAAGGTTATCTCCTGCAGGTCCTGGATTTACAGCTAACACATATGTGTGATGAGCTGCCCATGCCCTGGTATGGCCTATTGCACTGGATTCGCTGGAACACAAAGAGCAGTCCATAATTCATACTGGGCTCTTTCCGGGCCCCAGCTGGGTCATTCTGCATTGTGCTGTTTCTCTGCACCCATCTCTCATAATTTAAAGCAAACCCTGAGAAAGCCTGTGCCTACCCCCAGAGAACCATCCCCAGCATCACTGGCTTATTGCAAGTGAAATGTCATCAGAACATTGGCTGCGTGGTTTTCAACTCCACATGCATCTGCTCCACCTGCCACCACTCAGCCAAAGACATTCACTTTCCAGAATGCATTCTCCCCAGCATCACATGGGCTTTGCAGTCACTAAGTATGGCCACAGCACCATTTGCTGGCAGGAAAACGTCGCTGTCCTTGCCTTGTCCTCTGAGATTGGTGTTGGCAGCCTGCTCAACCAGGTAGAGATCTCACTTTCCTCCCAGGGAATCCTGAGCTGTACCGGAGCCTGACACTAACATCATTTCCCAAGGATGGGCTCAGCTCACATCAGGAGCAGTTCAATCACCACACTATGGCTTCAGACTGCAGGATGTCTTGGACAAAAGTGGCTGGTCTCCAGCAGGACAGCTTCATTTTGGTGTTGGATGCATGTCTGGTCCAATGAGAGCACAGGATTCTTCTATGGCAACGCTCCACTGAAGGTGGAAATGGGTAAACACAGGAGAGAATGAAACTCAGAGGGGTCCTGGGGAGTCAAAGAGGACCTTCTCAGTGCAAGAGGGTCAGTGTCCCTTGGTCTGTAGCACACAGAGATCTCACACCTGCGAGGGAGCAAAAAGAAACCAAGATGTACATCGGGTGTGTGGCTGAGAATCACAGTCATGGTGTGCAGCAGAAACTTTGCAAGCAGGAATCAGTGCAGTCTTTAACAGGACTGGGGTTTGAGTGTTAGGGTTCAGGTCCTATAAGCTGGCTCAGGTTGGGATCCAGAGCAGAAGGATCCACACAGAGCCATTTCTGACACCCATTAGAGAAAATGAGAATTTCTGCACCTCTGCTGTTCTGGTGAAATGGAAATAGCTCCTTGTACGTTTCCTGCACTGTACTTTCACATTAGTCCCTTGGGTTTCACAGCAAACAAGTTAACTAAGAAACTTTTCTTTAGGAAATGAAACAACATCTGAAATCTTTTTTCCAGTGGGTCAGCTGGTTTGATCTCTTTGTGCTCATGGAAGCACAGTGAGTTTACAAATCCCATCCCAGGGAGCCAGCTTCTGCCCTGGGAGCAGAATGGATGGAAGAACAGTCAAATAATTTTTGCATGCTCTACCCCAGGCTCTCTCATGAAAATCATGAGTGGGAGATGAATAGGCATGTCAAAGGTGATGGAGGACTCCAGTGAGATTAAGAAGTTGAAGGCTCTGCTCATATACACCTAATGCTCCACAAGTACCCATTTAGAATGCATGACTTTTCTCTGACTTATGACTGGTCTTGCTGGAAGAGTTCTTCAAGAAGCTGAAGTTGACTAGAGATCACCCTCTAGGCTGTGGTAGTCATAAAAGGTAAAACACTTTTGGGATGTGATCATCCATCCCATGTGAACACAGCTGCACTACAGATCTTGAAGCTATGTCACACCAGCTTGGGCATCTGGCACAGGTACACCATGGTGATCAGGACGTTGTCCCTCTTGGTCACCTGTACTTTGTGGACAAGTCCTTAGACAGAGGATGCACCACCCTGGGAGGCTGGTGCCACGTTGCAGATCTTACCTGGTTACACTCTGCAGGATCTTCTGCTCGTCCTGATCCAAGCACACGGCGAAGGAGGACTGGACACCAATAATCTGGACCTTGTCTACCTTAATCTGGGACACGCTGAGCTGCTGATAGAAAAGGAGTCCAAGTGAGGGATGTGACAGTCTCTGTGCATTAACCCTGTGCAGGGAAGGAGAGCAGGGCGCCCCAAAGCTGGGGCCAACACAAACAGGATTCCTCAAGGAGTTACTGACAGCTCCACAGATCTCAAACTCCACCTCTTGCCCTGCTGCCCTCCCATCTGAGGAGCCCCTGTTACCAAACGTAAAAGCACCATCATTTGAGTTACCTGATTGAAACTTTTTTTGGATTTGGAGTTTTGCCTTTTAACCACCTCCGTCATGGTCAAGTTGAGACACTCCGTCTTTGAGGCTGTAACAAAAAGGGAACTGTTATCACCTGGGGATCCTGGTAGGAACTCAGCTGGTACCCCTGCCCAACAACACGTCCCAAAGCAAGTGGGTCCCAGCAAGACTCCACTTGCAGGGAAATACAGTGTAGCTGTAGCTTTCCTACTTGCATGGTAGGAAAGCAATGAGAGAGATGGCGATAATCTTCCAAACACAGCAGCAAAGAACATGTAAGTATCTGAGCCCCTAAACAGGAGAAAAGCAATGGCCTCAGCATCAAGAGCTCTCCCAGTTTGGCCCTTCCTGCAGTCTGCTTGGAGATGCTCCTGCTTGTCTGGAATTACAGTGACATCCTGTGGCCAAACCACTGAGTGTGAAAACACGGAGACCCTCAGGAGACCAGGTTTATTTGGAAGGAAGGAGATTCACGAAGGAGAAGCTTCTCCCCAAGCACTGAGCTGAAGTCATGCCCTGAAACAAAGCCAGTGCACAAAGCAAAGCTCCCGAACTTGCACAGAAACACCCAGCTCAAAGCACACAGGAGATGAGCAACTAACTCCTGCTGGAGTATTTCCAAGGTTGTCTGCAGGACTTAACAGATGGAGCACCAACAGGAGGAATGGAGATTTAGGTGGAGCTCCGTGGGGCACATAGGACCTATCTCCTGGTTGGTAGACCACCTATTTGACCTGACTGCTCTGCTCACAAATAGAAATCTGCCAGACAAAAAGCACACAAGGAAAGAGGATCCAAAAAAATCCTCTGTTTGCTCGGAACTGTGTGTCTGCTTGTCAAAGTAGCAGAGCTCAAGCAAGAATGAGAAGGTGTTGCTTCTACATCAGCAAGCTAACAGACTAAAAGTCTTGCTGCCTTTAGAAGCTTCAAAGCCTTATTCATACCCTCTGAGCAACCTGAACTGAAAAAAAAAAAGGTAATTATGAAACAAACCAACATGGCAGCAGCTATCTGCGAGGGCAGGAAGGAATCGGAGCTGCAGTGAGAGCCTGCAGAAGGCTGGCTGCAGGGCACTGCTGCTGTGATGGCAGGACCCAGTACAAGCACTTCTTCCCTCAGTTCTTTATTTAGGAAGTTTAACCTCTTCCTAAGGGGCAACCCAGTGCAGCAGACTCCCCTAGCTTGAAGCTAAAGGATAACGGGAAATCAAATGCCCTTCAACCCTGGCATGGTGCAAAGGAGAGCCAGAGGCTGCCCTGTCTCTTGCCCCAGGGAGCAACAGGCACCTCCCAGGTGTTTTCTGCAGTCACACATCCCTGCTTTACTCTGCCTAGAGGAGCCAAGCTGCCATCTCACTCCATCATTCCCTCCCACTGCCTCCCACCCCAAGTCCCAAAGCCCAGCTGTACCTACCCAGCTCTTCGTACTTCTTGCAGGCTTTGCTGAGGTTAACAGATGTGCAGACCTTCTCAACATCGTTCCACTGACTCCTTCCACTGATGGCTGTCTGCAGGGACAAACTGAAGCATGTGAGACGCCATCCTTCAGGCTGTTACCCTGCCTCCCACTTCTACCTCCTGTGGTGGGCTGACCCAGACCTGGGTTTCCCTGAAGCTGAACAGGCAAATTTTGAGTAGGCATTAAAATTTGTTTGGCCTTGGAATTACAAAAACTGATCAGAGGTAACACCAAGTAATTACAGAGAAACCACAAAAATAGGACTGCTGTGAGCAGCAGGAGATTGCTCCCTGGAAGCAATGCCCACTGATATAAACTGGCACCCAGCACGCATCAAGGCTATGGGAGCTGGCTGCACATTTATTATCTTGGGCTTCTCAGGAGTGGAAAGCCACCACCAATTAGCCAGCAAGTTGAACATTAGGTTCATTTTGGCTCCGCTGGCCTTGCATTCAGGCTCCACCAGCACGCTCTCAGCACTTGTCCCTTTCAGCCCCCAGCTGAGACAGCACTGAGGTGGATTTCTGACATATCTGTGCTCTGCAGTCCCCACATGCTCACCTTGCTGTAGGCGATCTGTAGTGTTAGTGGGATTGCTTCTCTGTCTCCATCTATGCCCAGCCTTTTGCTGCCCGGACCTGCACAAAACAAGGAGCAAATGTCACCTGGTGACCTTTTCTCCCCAATCTTCAGGGCTGCTAACACAGCACCACTCAGTACCTACAGAAAAGGGGAAAAAAAATCCTGCTTTGCTGAACGCAGATGCAGAGCAGAAAGGAAAATGTGGCTTAAAAGCTGCCAGAAAGCAATCCATCCAGTGCAGAAGTTACAGGGCAAAGCACTGCAAACTGAGAGCAGTGCAGCAGGGGCAGTGCTCCGGGGAAGGCACAAAGCAATAAGAGGATGCATGGCTAACCCAGCTCCTTGGCCAAGTCAGCATTTTCGGGGGTGGGGCGATGATAGTTTGTGGGGGAAGGGATGTTTGGTGAGCTCTGTTCAAACGGACAAGACGAGATGTCAGAAAAGCTGCAGGTTAAAAGCATGACACAGTGCTGGGATGCAGTACAGTGGTTAGCCAAGAGATGTCCTGCAAGCTGCAGGCTTGAAACTGCTTTACAGCTCATACACTCAGAGAGTTAACAGAAGAAAAAGGAGCAAGGTATGGTCACGGCTTCACTCCTGAAGGGGAACGCAAGAACCTGAAGCCTGGCTTCAGAGCCTTCCTGGATCCCACATTGAGGCCAAAGTCCTCTCCCTCCCCCTGCATCCCTGCAGCCCCTCTTGGTAGACATCTCCCAGCCCAGCAGTGTGTGGACACCCACCCCAAGGCTGCCGAAGTGGGGAGAAAGAAGAAGGAACAGTCACAGACCTGACGCCTTGATGGCCCGTGTGGCCGCCGAGTGACCCAGCTCCAGGGAGTGGATGAAGACTTCGGTCATCTTCTCCCCCCCTATGAAGGTGAGCTGCCAGGAGGAGAGAGGAGATGTGGTGATGAGGTGACCTCACAGGGCCGTGGAGCTGGAGGATGTAACCTGTCCCTTTCACTTCTTTCCACAGGAAATGGGCAAATTATTTCAGCTTTGAAAATACACGTTTCAACCACTGCATCGGGTGGCACTTTCCTCCAGCTACACCTCAGACTGTTTTAAAAGACCATCAGCACGTGAACCATCAAAGCCACGAGCACAGAAATGCATTCAAACCTTCTCCACTGCAGGAGAACCTTCTCGCACAGCAGGTTATGGAGAAGGGATTATGTGGAGGGGTTTGGCTTGGGAAAAAGAACACCAGAGAGATTTCCAGCAATGTGATTGATCTGCCAGCACTGACAGGAATCTCTCTTGTGTAGGGCAGAAGGGTATTGGGAAGGAAAACTGCTCGTGTCAGTTGAGAATGGTTGGGCCAGGACCTGCAGACCCCTGATCCCTTAGCCAGAGCATCAGCCAAAGCGCTGTGGGCCCACGTGCGCAGGTCCCCAGGGGAATACAAGGAGACCAAGCTCAGCCCCATCAGCACACAGCAGCTCTGCCATACCCATACCACCTCCCAGGTGAGCCCCACGTTGGTGATACAGGCAGAGGACCCCCTTTCCCCTGCTGAGCTCCTCTGCCTACCTCGGTCTGGTAGAGCTGCAGCAGGACGGGGCGCGTGGCAAAGCGGCAGTAGTAGAGGATCATGTCGGCCAGGATGGGCAGCTGCTCCCGGGAGTCCTCCTGGGGCTCAGCCTCAGGCTTGGCAGACTGCAGTGAGGAGGGGGGTCACAAGCCTGATGGATATGTGGGACCTATAGCCCAGCACCACCACCTCAGGGATGGAAACCCTCCTCCCGACCACCAGAACCACCCGTTTCCACCCCATGCCCACACACAGCACAGCCTGTCGGGCAGCTTCAGGCGCGATGTTCGGCAAATGTGCCTCAGGGAAGGGGACACCGGGCTCTCCCAGCCAACACGTTCATACCTGACACAGGACATCCATGGGCAGGTTCATCAGCCCCAGAACGTTCCGCTCGTACCATGGGTCCAACATGCCGATGTAGTGGGAGATGTCGTTGGTGCTGCTCTCCGCCCCAGCTGAGGTGGGCTCCTGAAACCAGAGATGGGGGGTCACCCCTGAGCCCCCTGGCTCTTCTGCCCTGGCTTAGGGCTGGTGGAAGAGACCCCAGGGCTGCTGCTGCCCAGCCTGCTGCGGGATGAGGACACGTACCACCTGTGCTGAGGCGCGGAGCTGCAGGTCGCTTGGGGATGGAGGAGGATGCATCAGCAGGGCCGTTGGAAAGGGGCAGCTCCTCTTCACGGGGACATAAAAAAACTGCAGCTTGAAGTACCTTGTCAGTGTAGGGCAGGTGCTCTCCTTCAGCCTAGGAGAAGCGGGGAGAGGGCTGGGTGAGCAATGTCCTTCGGTACAGCCTGGCAAGGCAGGATGTGATGTGCAGAATTAGACTCCAGTGATAGCTGGAGGACCCTGTCTCCTCAGAGCGAGGCAGCGATGGAAGGCACACATAGAAAATGGCTTGTCTGTGCCACACTGACTTAATGACAATGTCACCTGGCAGTCACTGTCCCCGCTGGCAGACAAAAGCAGCTGGATGTCCCCCACACCAGGACCCCGGTGACCACAGCAGCAAGCCTTCAAGGCATGGACCCCACCACGGCCCACAGCCACGTCCCCGCGCTGCCCCGCTCACCTCAGGTTGCTGTAGGCTCGGGCTACTTTCCCTGAGATGCGGTCGGAGCCGAAGACCACCACACGCATGGTGGCCACTTTGGCATCCTCGTCATAGCTGAGGAAGGGCCGGCGGGGCAGGCTGGGCAGCTGTGGGGTCTGCGGGGTCTGCAGCCTCTGGCCCAGCCCGTGCTGCGGCAACGAGTGAGCGCGCCGGGAGCGTGCCGGGATGCGGGGCTTGGCCGGGGGGTGGCACAGGCTCTCAGCACGGCGCAGTGGGAGCGAGCCCCTATCTGCACAGTCCTTCAGGTCTCTCCTGAGGACCAGCTGGCTTTTGCTCTTGAAAAGTTTGTAGATTTTGTTGGTCAGCGTGTGTCTGTATTTGTGGTGGGTCCTCTCCATCTTCAGCTCCGGCCGCCCAACCATGTCCAGGGAGCTCTCGTCGCTGTCCTCTGCGTACCCGCTGTCCATGCAGTCCTTCAGGCTGGAGACAAAAGACCGCAAGGACTTTTTGGAGACCACTGTCAGCTCTGAGATGGAGTCCTTGGAGCTGCTGAAGAGGGACACGCGGGAGGGCTTGGGTCCCTCTTCTGACAGCGCTGAGTACACAGAGTCTTTGGAAATGGAGGAGATGGGGGACAGCAGCGAGTCCCTCTCTGGGGAACAGCCATCTGTTTCCACATCCTCCTCTTCCTCTTCCTCGTCCTCCTCATTCTCTGAGGCCACAGGCTCAACAATGCTGCACTCCTTGCTGAGGACATCATTGAGGACATCTGAAAGGCATGGGAGGGAGATCAGAAACACGAGCAGTGCATGGGCATCCCACGCAACGGCCCTATGGCAGCATGGCCAGCATTCTGTCTAACCCTGCATGGCTTCAAACAAAGAGCTAAAAACCTCTTCCCAAGCATTTTTGGGTTTCCATAAGGCGCTCTGATATGATGACAAAACAAAACTCGTTTGACGTCACATTCTGTTTGGATTCTCTAAAAACAAAGAGTGGTTGGGTTTTTGCTTCCTTCCCATGCAGAGTTCCCAATGCACCCTGCATCCTATCTGGGTTAAATCAGAGGGGAAGAGGGATGCAAGGTGTTTGGATTATCAAACCCTAAATGGACAGTCAGGAAGGTGACAAAGCCCAAGCTAGAGAACAGGTTCAGCACACTGCAGCCATGAAGCCACGGATGCTCAACCTTCATGGGGCCAGAAGAGGTCTTCCAGGAATGGGGAAGCCAAAGAGGTCAGGACCCCTCTCTGCTTACCAAAGTTATCCTGGTCCCAGCTGTAAGCATAGCAGCGTGAAGTAGGGATGGGGATGGGCTGCAGCCTGCGGGGCTGCGCATCTCCTGTGGAGAGAGGAGAGGAGTCAGCTTGTGGGGACCCTCCCCATGCTGCAAGCCCCACACAGGGCATCTAAATGGTCAGAGCCATGGGGTGCTGCCCACCCCGTGCTGGTTATATGGGCAGTTCACATCACGCAGAGAAACAATGCTGTCATTAACCCATGAAGTCACATGTGACTCTCAGAGCCACCTCTCAGAGTCAGGCAGCAGACATTGCTGCCACAGCTGGTTTTCTGACTGAATGTTCCCATCTTGGCCACAAAGGCTGGAGATGGATTATTGTTTTTTGACAAGAAAAAACATCTGGCTCATCATGCAGCAATGAAATAGAGAAAAAAAAAACAAACAAACCCAGTCCCTGTCTTATTGTGCCAGGTTAAAGTTCTGCACAAAACAGGGTTTCACACTTCCAAGCGTAGCTCACAGCACAAGGGAACCCATGGCTGATGGTGGGATCAAGCTGGCACTGGACCCAGGAAACAAGAAGAGTGCAGGGACTTCTCACCTCCAATGACAGGAAGCGCAGCTGCCCCAGCAATGTCCTGCAGAACGCTCTGCAGCCGCTCCCGGGCCAGCATGGGGTCACTGCTGGCAGCTGCGACCTCCTGAGCTTCAGCAGCACTGGCGTAGATCTCAGAGAGCTCCTCCAATGTCTTGGCCTGGGGAGAGCAGAGCCAAGGGAGAGGTGGAGGGGAGCACAGGTCTGTAGGGATGGTCACGGAGTCTGAAGCTCTGTATCTCTTCCCTCCACTAACCCTCCAAGTCATATACAAATACAGCAAGAACAGAGTGGGATAAGAGTAGAGGAGGAGTAAGGAGTAGAGTAGGAGAAAGAGTAGTTCCACCATCAGAAGATCATCGGCTTCAACTATCAGACCACTTTGGGGCTGACCCAAAGTTAATCTTTAAGAGCATTATCCCAATACTTCCCAAATACAGATGAGCATGGGGCATCAGCCACCTCCCTAGCAAGCCTGTTCCAGTGTCTAATCTCGATAAAGCAGTTTTTTCTCATAATTAATCTGAGCCCACCCCGATGGCGTTGAGCCATTGCCATGAGCCTTGTCACTATTACCCAGGGAAAAAGGGTGACCCTTCCCTTGTCCCTTAATGCATTCGAACACACCTACAGGATTTCACCACTAGTTTTTATCCCCCATAAACACCAGAGCAAAGAGTTCCTGGGATCAAACGACATTTTTTTGCTGCGTTTCACAACAGGGAGCTTTTCCTGTCTCCAGCTGGGGGCACAGCACCAGAGCCCAGACCCGAGAAGAGAAGGGAAAGGCCGTGCCTACCTTCAGGAGGCAGCGCAGGCTGCCCAGGTTGCAGCGGGTGCCGAAGGTGACCTGGTAGAGGTGCTCCAGCAGCAGGATGAGCGCAGCGTGCCGGGGCGGCTCAGTGCCGCTCAGCTTCTCTGCGATGGAGAGGAATTCGCTCTGCACCTCGGAGCGGTTCAGCAGCAGCACCGTCCTGGGGACACGGGATGGCTGTTAGAGCTGGCAGCCAGGCTGGCACGCTGCTGGTGTGCAACACTGGGTAAATTCCCGCTAGATGGCAGCGTCCCTTCACACGAGCTGCGGATGTGGCTGTGCAGGAGCGCCAGAGCCATGCTGGCGGTGAGGGTGGGTGGGAATCCTCTGTCCTACCCCTCCCTGGCATCATCTCTGCTGCCATATCTGCAATATCACCAGCCCCAGAAGGGCTCCAGCCTAGCAGCCAGTTGTCCAAACTGGACACCCAGCATTTATGATGGAGAGGGGAACAGAAAATCAGAAAACGCCTTCTTTTGCAAGGTGAACATCACAGCTTCACAGAATCACACAGCATCACAGAATGGCCCGGGTTGGAAGGGACCTCAAGGACCATGAATCTCCAACCCCCCGCCACATGCAGGGCCATCAACCTCCACATTTAATACCAGACCAGGCTGCCCCATACAATCTGACCTTGAACACCTCCAGGGATGGACAAGGCATCCACAGCCTCTCTGGGCAGCTGTTTCAGCTCCTCACCACTCTCATAGTGAAGAACTTCCCCCTGAATCCAACCTAAATCTTCCCTCCTTCAACTTAAAACCATTTCCCCTTGTCCTGCCATCATCTGCCCTTGTAAAGAGTTGAGCATCCCTTCTGAGCTTTAAGTTTCTGCAGGGCTTTAAGTTTTCTGAAAGACTTTGGCAGGGAGATGGTGCAGGTATGAACTACATTTTCCTCCTTGTTGAGGGCGCCTGGAGGAAAGTATGGGAGACTGGCAGGCTTCATGGGAAGCCCTTGCACACATAGCTCGCCTCCTCCTGCTCTGCCACCAGCAAGGCTGCCTGCTTTCCAGGAGCTGCTGCTGGAGAGAAGAGCCACATCCTTCAGCTGGGAAAGCTTTTTGCTCTGGACCACAACATGAACACCAGCAGGCTTTAAATTCCCAAATCCTGGAGAGCACGTAGTCATGTGCTTACATTTATGGACGTGAACGATGCACATAACTGAACAAAACCAGCTCTGAATTAAGGATGGGCCAAGGTGCAACTGGTTCTAGAAAGCTCAGGCAAAGGGCACAAGCTTTCAAAAAGCCTGACATTCAGCTTGTGTACAGCCTTGTGCCAAGTTTTCAGGGTTTCATGCAAATGCAGCCACCTCGCTGCAAGCCACAGGTGCTGGCACTTGCACTGGCACAGAGCAGGGCAGCTGTAATAGGAAAGCAACACAACAGCATCAGTGCAGCTGGGTGGGATACTGGTGCAGACCCCAAGCTGTGCAGCATGCATATAGAAGCCAAAGCAACAGGAGAGCCTTCCCATCGTGAGCAGGGGTAGCTGTGAAAGGACTGTCCCTGCAGCCAGGATGGGCATGTACTGCCTGGGCTCATTTCCCTATTTACAAATGAGGTGCCAGGGCAGGAAGAAACGTTCAGCCCTCAAGTAAGGTGCAGGGTTTGACTGAACCAGCGAGCCCTGCATTGCTGCACTGGTGTGAGCTTGCTCCTGTTCTGCTTTGGCCTGGTGGCTCAAGCCTTTGCCTTCCCTGCCTCAGAGTTGCCCTCAGATCTGTCTCCCTGTTTGGGGATATCCAGCACAGGATGCCTGCAGGTACACATCTGTGGTTGTGGAAATGTCACAACCACTCTCCCCCTTCCTTTCCACAGCTCAGCTCTGCCATCCAGCTCTTCTCCCCTGTCACCACCTCTACTTTTGAGATGCTGATTGCTGCAACTCTGCTGTTGCTGCAGAAGTAGCATGGGATAGTGGAAATGATGGAGCAAGGCCAGCAGTGCCTGCACTTACACAGTGGAGCTCTGGTAGTTCTTCACAGGCAGCCCCTGCTCCATCCTCACCAACCTCTGGAAGGAAATCCCTGGGGGAGAAAGCAGAGGACATAAGCTATGGGGGTACCACAGGCCGCCCTGCTCCAGGTGCTGTCTCCTGTAGCAGGAACAGCAGCAGCAAAAGTCCTTACAGATGCAAAGCACAACTCGAGTGCAAGGGGAATGAGCCCAGGAGCAAGGGAGAAGTGGGAGAGGAACCAGAAAGTGGGAAGGGGAAGCAGCTCCATGTCCAGCCCCTGAAGCCCCACTGCTGGCTGCTGTGGGTTACACCAGTGATAATTCAGCAGAATCTGCCCCTTGTTTTATCCTTCCAGTCCTGGATGTCCCTGTGGCCAGCAGGTCACAGCCACTGTCCCTCCTGCAGGGACAGAGCCCACATGGCTCTGGTAGGACTGAGTCTAGCATGGGCAGCCCATGTCCCCAAGCTGCCTCCCCCAGGAATGCCCCCATGGTGCCATCAGGATGACATCTGCTGGACCTGGAGTCGCAGTCCTTGTGACTGGGAGACAACAGCAAAGCCCATCCCACCCTAAACAGCAGGAGGGGCATACTGGGAAAGATGGCATCGACAAGATCCAGCACCTTTAGCACCATGGGCAGCCACATCCCAGCCCCAACTGCTGCTTGACAGCCCCAGAGCTGCACTAACATGGGAGGAGTACCCACAGCCCCCTCACTTTGCACCACTCTTTCAAAGACATCAGCCCCAGCTTGTAGATAAAAGCTATAGCATTCTTGGCAAATACTGACAGCAGCTTGTTCTCAGTTAATATTTACCCCATCTCAATCAAAACTGTTGCTTCAGCCTCTTGTCAGGTCACGGAGGCTGTGAGGTCCCGGCCAGTGTTCCAGCACAGGACACATTTTCACTGTTCTTGGCTGCTCTGTGGCACCCGCCCCCACACACCAACACCTCCCATCAGCTGCTTCATGCAGTGGTGGGGGAATCCCATTTGTAGGAGGGGAAAAGCCCTTGGATCGAAGTCCCCAGCTCAGCAGCCCTGGGCACTTGTGGCAGCATGGTAAGGGCAGAAGGAAGCAACATCCCCAGTGCTGGGGCTTTTCCAGTGGTCTTTACAGCAGGGCCCCAAGTGGTGTCACAGCAATATATGGCCAAGGAGGAGCTGGGACAAGCATCCCTGTGATCACATCAGCCCTGCTGCTCCTTCTGGAGGCCAGGAGCTGTGTGATGGCCCAGACACACCTCTCCGGGTGGCCAGGGTCTCCTTAGAGACTTGCAAAGGGGATTTTAATGGTGGGCATCCATCCCTATCTTTCCTTGTCTCATTAAGAAATTAACAGTGTGCCCCTTGGGGCTTTGCATGGATGGAGACCTTGTGTTTCACATTCCATCTCCAAACCAGCTGTCTGTATTAAGGACACAAGGTGGTATCAGCAGGCCCAGCTGCAGCCCCCATCCCCTTCCAAGCCTTCCCCAGCCCTGCTCAGAGCAGATCACTGCCCTGTGCAAGACAAAACCATGGCTGAAATCTGCTCTGTGCAATGACAGCTCTCCGTGAGCCACGGAAAGATGGGGAAATTAGGAGACAGGGCTTTTGAGAAATAATTGGAAGAGCTGCTCCATTGGGAACAACATATGTCCATGGGAACAACATGGGTATCAGCAAAGAGTCCCTAATTAATTGGGGCGCTGCTGCCACTCCACATGCCCAAAGCCGGATCACAAGGCAGCATCTCTTCTGCAAGGACACAGCTGGGGATTCCTCAGCCTTATGGAAACTCCACCCCACAGCAGGCTCAGACCCTCCCACCACCTTCATGCTGATGAATGGACCCACTGTTAGCACCCCCGTTATGCCACAGAGCATCTCGAGCAAAGGCTGTGGCTGGGCGGAAGCTGCTGGCATGAGCTTTGCCATGCAAAAGACCAGCAGACTGAAAGGCAGCCAGGAAATAGTGACAGTCCATGCTAATCCACACCAGCCCTGGGCCGAGATCGGATGCTCCCATTACTTTGCCCACAAGGCAGCACCCCAAAAACACATCCCCAAAATCCTGCCTTGCTCCTCCAGAGAAATCTGGTCGCACTCTGCATGCGCTGTGGGCTGGTGAGCAAACCCAGGGAAGCAGCATCAGTGTCACACGAAAGCTCACGGCAGGGCAAGAGCACTCACCTGGTGCCTTGAGCTCATCACTGATGAAAGTGAGCAGCTCACGGAAAACATCGCAGTAGGGCACGGGCCAGGTGAGGAAGCTGTGGTAGACGCTGGCAGCTTTCAGGAGCAGCTCGGAGTCTGGTGGGATGTGAGGAGCCTGCAGGGATGGGGAGGGGTGGTGAGAAAGGGAGCAAGGAGCTGGTGCTGGAGCTCTGCATAAAGCCCAGGGGTTATGGGGTGGGATGGGAGGAGGAGCGGATGGGATCAGGGCTCACCCCATGACACCCCATGCTCTTCTAAGGAAGAGCCAAAGCACCTCACTGGGCACAGCTGCAGAACAGCTTCCTCCACTGCGCCTCCCCAGACTCACATGCCACAGCCTATATATAAACTCCCTTTTAACAGCCACAGATCCATGCAGATGAATCACATTGAAGTCTGTGCTTTTGCAAGACCTGGCAGCAATGATTTCCTCGGGATAATGATGCATTGTGCTAATAATATTGATAATAAAAAAATACTTCCTGTGAATGCTCTGCTCCTTTTCATTAGCATTGTCTGCACATTTTGCCCAACTCTACAGTGCAATGAAAACAATTTGGCTTCTCTGAAGAGAGATACTGCCTCCCTTTCTGACTGACCCGTCTTTAAATGCAAAGATTAAAAGCACCAAAGTGCATTTTTTTTCATCTCTTGCAGCTTGTGCAGCCGTTCCTTGCCCTTGATCCCTGCAGATTTGTATGGGATCTTTTCAGAGAGGAGCAGACCAAAGCAAATGGGACCTTGCAGATGGCAGCTACAGGGGGTTGGGGAGTGCTGTGTGCAGCTGACTTACATAGAGGACGGCGTAGTAGAAAAGCAGGGCCAGGGGCATCACCAGGTCGTAGTCACACCTCTCCTGCACCTGTAGGAAACAGCAAAAGGGAGAAGGATGAGCATGGGGGTGCCAGATGTCCCCCTGTGAGTGCATCTGAGCCCTCTCAATCCACACCACCGTGCAACCTTCCCCAACAGGTGGAGACAGCTCTTCTCCATGGGAAAATCCCCCTAAAGCACCCACAGAAGCAGCAGGCAGTGGCACACTCTGCCTTTACTCTTGAGAAGCCGCATCCAGCCGAGCTCCTGACCCTCTGATGCTCTCGATCCTGGCAGAGTTGCATAAAATTTTATGCAAGTAGACCAAAGCAGGCAGCCCAGCCCTGCTTAGGGACTGCAAATGGCAAAGCCCAGTGCAAAGCATGCATTTCTGTCCCAACCTCAGCAGGATTATTTCCACAAGGGACATAGGGAGTGCTCAAAAGCAGGCTTGCAGACACTGTCTCCCTTTGTTTACAAGCATGGCACAAAGTGCAAGAAAAATTTATGTACAGCACAACATAATACAACGTCATTGTAACAAGATCAATCCCAGCCACTGAAAACAACTCGTTGATTAAACAGTAGCAGCAATCACGTTAATGTATTAGCGAGGCAGCCTTTCTTCCCTCAGAAATAAAAGGCAGCATTTACCCCATCACATGAACCCCAGAATTCCTCCCACATCATGGCATTCCCCTCAGTCCTCCTGCCTGCAGCCCCAGGCGGCCCTGAGCTCTCCCACACAGGGTTGGGCATGGCAGCCAACACAGTGAGCCCCACTGATGCTTCAGCTGCCCCAGCTCCATCCCCTGCACTGCAGGAAGCTGGGCAGAGCCTCAACAAAATCTCCGTATCCATCACTTTGGAGCTGCTGGACCAACATTGCCCACCAATGGGGTTCGAACACAACCCCGAATTGCCCATCAGGACCTGCAAAGCTCCTCCCCAAAGCCAGCAGCCCCCACTCACCTCCCTGGCCTTGCCGAGGATTTTCTCCACCAGGATGAGGTAGTTGCCAGCATCCCTGCTCACCAGCTCCTGCAGGCTCCAGCAGTTCAGGCACAGCCCTGCTGCAAGGGAGACAAAGCACAATGACCAAATGGTGCTCACAGGAGGGATGAGCAGCAGGGAGGGGTCAGGGGGAGGTGTTTGATGCCTGGATCATATTGCTGTGGGGGAAAAAATAATCACACCCCAATTCTGGACAGATTTAAGCTCTCCAAACGGCGCTTGTCACAGCAGCATCACTTTTTACCAAGCCTCTCAGCACTCTTCTTGCAGCCCAGTGCACCAAAGGCAAAACTCAGATCCCAGCCCCTCTGCAGCCAAGGGTGATGCTCACCCCCTGAGCAGCTTCCCAGGCCCTGCAGCTGCATGGTCAGACCTCACAGCAGCATCGCTGCGGGTGGTGAACACATCAGCATCGCTGCTAAGCCTGCCCAGCATTTATTCCACCTCCTCAGTACCTCCAAACAGTCATAAAATGCATGTAAACCCATCCAGAATAGCCAGATATTGAAAGAGAACTGCAGAAGGAGTTGTAGTTCCCTCTGTCCCTCACAGACAGGTGCTGGGACGCCCATGGTTTTCCTGGCTTCCTGCCATGTTCGTAGATGAATGAACAGGGCAGGAGCTGTTGCCCATTGCAAAGTTCCCTCGCTGCCATGCAACATTTTATTTTCCACAGATCAGTGTTTTCCAGCGCAACCTTTTGTTGTGGCACCTGATCAACGAGGGCACAGCCATTACGGACAGTAATTCAGCTCTAAGTTTTCCTTTAAGAGAAGTCAGTGCAATGACACAAAACCAAGGCTCTCCTCCAGAGGACCCCAGCAGACCAAACAACTCAATGCTGCCCTGAAGAGCAGCACCCTCCAGGAAAACACCCAGCGTCCAAGAGATATGGTCAGAGCAGACGGGAGCTTTGCTGACCTCAGCAAGAAGCAAAGCCCTGAAACACAGCTCCAGCAGGGAGGTTTGGGGTTAATTCAAGCTGTTTTGCACCCAAAGAGCCCAGCCCAGCAGAGCTGAGCAGTGCAGCACCAGCCAAGGAGCAAGAGGCTTCCTGCACGAACATGGCTGTGAACACAAAGGGCAGAGCCAGGCACGAGCCCTTTCCTTCCTCTCACTGCTGGCACAGAGGAGGAAGCAGCAGTGGCTCAGGCAGGGAAATACTGGGATGCTTCCCTGGAGAAGTGCTGGGCTGAATGCACAGCAAGCTGGGAGCAGGGGAAGACAGCAGAGACAAGAGCAGGGCTGGAGGGAAGCATCGTGCCAACACAACGCTGGGCAGAGGGCTCTGACCCATTTCTGTGTGTTCTACAGGAAATCTGAGCTAAAGCAAAGGATGCAGCAAGGCTGAGTTAACGTTGCTCTGAGCAGAGGAATTCCTGTTAGACTCACAGCCACGGCAAAGTACTGGGATGACCCACAGCAAAGCAAACAGTGCTGGGAAGCTACAAGCTGCAGGGGCTGGGCTCCTCAATTTGGCAACGCAGCGGTAACCAAAAACACACCAAAACAGCTGCATCCTTGCTAAAAATATTCTCCAGCATAAAAAGCAGCTCGGAAATCCTGGACACAATAAACAAAGACTGTGCAGCAGAGCACCATCAGGCATCGGTCAGGACGCTGGGTGGGAATTCCCTTTTGTCTCTGCATAGTCCTGGTCACAAGCATCACCTTTCTGAGCACTGGGAGCAGAGTTCAACCCTGTATCCAGAAAAAAAAAAAAAAAGAAAAAGGCTCTTTGAGCACTGAAGGTGATGCTCTTCACATGCACAGGTCAGGAACGAGAGCCCCAGATGACACGAATAGCACATGAGCCACCTGCTCTGCAAGTGTCACCTCCATCCCTCAGCAGGTGCCCTGTGGGCAGCCAGGACACAGCTGGGCACTGTGGTGGCACCAGGGCACTTTTATGAACAGAACCGAACAGAACTGCAGAACAGCACCTGGTTTATGAGCAGAACAGGGACAGGCTGCAGCCAGGTGGGAAACCACATCCAGAAGTTTACTTGCAGCTGCTCATCCGAATCAGTACAGCTCAGCAAAAGGACAAAGGGAGGATGTACACTGAGTGCACACCAACAGCTCAAATCAGACTGTCCTGCACATTGCACTTGCACTTGATTCACCAGTAGCACATTTCTTGCTCTGAGATACAAAGGAGGCTGGCGGTCTGCAGGGAGGGCACAGCTTGGGGGCACCCTTGTATGATGCTCGAGCCTTGTTCCCCATTATCTCCTGTGAAAGCACTGGTGGGGGGAGATACGAATATCCACCCATATGAAGTGCTATGAGCAGAGACCCAGGAGGCTTCAATTGCTGTCAAGTTCTGGCCCCGTGGGCGGCCTCAGAAGGATGAGGCTCTGTGAGCAGCACTGTGAGCCGCCTCCTCCTGCTGCAGCTCCTTCCTGACCTCAGCTGCTGTGGTTGCTGCTTCCCCTGCGCTGCTCATAGAGGGGGGAGCATCAAATGGGGATAGATAGATAGATGGATAGATAGATAGATAGATAGATAGATAGATAGATAGATAGATGGATAGGGAAAGAAGAACCTTCACCCACAGTGCTCAGGGCGAGCATCCCGGTGCTGTCAGAAGTGATGCAGTTGGAAGGAGAGAAAAGCAGAACGCTGCAGCTCCATTTCCAGGCTCAGAGCCACACAGGTGGGGCCCTGCAGCACATCCTGCACTGTGTGCAGCCATGGTGCTTCCAGAAAACCAGGGGGTGGAGAGGGCAGCGATCCCAACCATAAAACACCACACCAGGCTGTGAGATCAGCTCCAGGGTTACAACCAGTACGGCTGAGAACTAGTGGTAGTTCAGTGTTCTGTTATTAAACTGGAGCACCCCAACTACACAATTCTGATATTTAGATGACTGCATTCAAGCAGCGCTTTCAGCCTCCCTTCACTTAGGAGGAAGTTTTTCACACAGAGCGTGGTGAGGCACTGGAACAGGTTGCCCAAGGAGACTGTGGATGCCCCATCCCTGCAGGCATTCAAGGCCAGGCTGCATGTGGCTCTGGGCAGCCTGGGCTGCTGGACCCTGCACACAGCAGGGGGTTGGAACCAGATGATGTTTGTTGCCCTTTTCGACCCAGGCCATTCTATGATTCTATGATTCTATGATTCTATGACTCATTAGAGCTGAGCACACCAATCTGAGCCCCACTATTGTATCATCAGATGCTGCTCTGGCTCTCCAATGACCTCCATCCTTCCTCAGCAGCACCTTCATCCTTCCTGGCACCAAGCAACCCACAACACAGACACAGCATTCACCTCTCCCTGGGACCTTTGGGGCACCAGGCTGCCCTACAACTTCCCCAGCATCTCCCCACCCACCGAGACCCTCAGTCCCCATCCTCCTGCAGCCCTTCTCACACCTCTGATTTCCCCAGCAGCCAGACCCAGTGCACTCCTCCACCAAACACTCTGTTCCTGTGAGCAATACACCGTTTTGCTTCCTGTGGCACACCAGGAGTTTACTACCATGCCCAGCAATGAGGAATAAGGCAGTCACACTGTGCCCAAATGCATCTCCACGAAGGAAAGCACATCACGTTTGCTAGCACTTTTCCACTTGATTCCTCCCATAAATGCTGCAGTGCAAGAGGGATGCTCATTTTAGGCTCCTGAGCTCACTATGTGCTCTGGGACGTAAATCTGCAATGCCAAAGCACTCTCACTTCTGCCCTTTGCTGATTCCACAAACCTCAGCAGCTCAGTTGCTCACGCGGGTGAAAACGTCACATCGGAAGTGATTATTCATCCTCTCCAGAACAACCTCCTGCAAAGTTACTGTGCAGAAATTAGACCTCCAGTAATTTAAAATGGAGCAAAGCCCCAGCAGCGCTCCAGCCCAATGAGCTGCAGCGTGGAACACCTTATTTTGGTGCCTTGCACAGGGAAAAAGGAGGGGAGTGCAAGTAAACTGGGAAATAAAAGTGATATAAGAAGTTGAAAATGAAAAAGGAGAAGGATGCTGCCCAGCTAAGAATGAGACAGAGATTCAAGGAAAATAGGAGGAACAGAGCCCTGCCATAAATAGCAGCATAGCTCTGACACTGGACAGCCATAATAAAACTGGCGTTTGTTGCACAACAAAGGCAGGAGAACATGAAAAAATTCCCACTCTGTTTGTGCAAATAAATAGGATATGTTCTACTATGCTCTGTTTTCCCTACACCACCTTACTGCAATAACAAACTACTTCCTATAACAACCGCAAGTGGGTCGGACTCGAAGCAGCAGCTCTTCCAAGGCTGGGCAGCATTGCTGCTCCCATCCCTTCCACCCACAGCCCAGGTCAGCCTTATTTTCGCTAATGAGCTGGAAACATTACAGAGTGGTTTTTAAAAGGCTACATCATGCAGCCACCAGCACTGAGGGGCTGGGATTAGTGAGTGACGTGGGGAATGATGAGTTGTAATGATGGGAAGAGGTGAGCTGTGAGTGGCACAAGGAGCTGCCCAGGCAGAGGCATTCCTACAGGCACAGCCACACTTCCAGGAACCAGGAATGTAGGTCACACTTCAGGAACTGGTACCCAGAATGCGTGCAGGCCCAAAGGGCTCTGGTGCTGGTGATATCTGCATGAAGCAGGCCTTGCAGTGATGCTACAGCCCCAGAGCCAGTGTTGCTCCTGTGGGTCTGGCATCAGACAGGAGATGGTTTGCAGCTCCTCCTTGACCCATGATGGAAAAGCAGAGGAGGCGTGCAGAAGAATTGCACAGACATAAAGAAACCTGGGTGTGACAGCCCTCATGTTCACTTCTTTCATCCCCAGGTGGATAAAGGAGCGATTTAACTGCAGCCTGGAAGTGCAAGTATGAGGATGAGAATTCAAAATGTGATATGTAAGAACGGCTTCTGCTTGTTGCAGCTCTTCCCTCACCTTTGCCACCCTGAATCTTGTCCCAGTGCTCTAAATGAGGCTCCCATCTTTATGGCCAGCACGGTATCTGAACCAGATTAACCAGCCGATAGCTATATCTCAACAGTTGCTTCTGACAATGCAGCAGGGATACGCCCAGAGGGTCTGAGGTCTTTGTGCCCCAAAGCAGGTATTCCTGGCTGATTACAGAAAGGGGCCTTTCCTTGGAGTGAGCAAAGAATCCTCCTCTTGGCAGCTCATGCATGGGCACCTGGCAAAACAAATGGCTGCTCTGCTCAGGGTGCATCTCTGTATGACCTAACCTGACTTGCTCAGCCACTCAGTCCACCCTCCTACTGCTATGAGAAACTCAGGAAAATGGACTGGATTGGATCCCACCTCTAACTTTGAATGCTGGAAGGGACAAAAGGCTGCTCAGCCTCCCAGGAGCACCAGCAGGTCTGTGCTGTCCAGGTAGGTCAGCAACAAGAGGGTAAAGCATGCAGAAACAAAAGGGTCTGCCCCATCAAGGCTGTCAGGGAGCTCATGATCAACAGGTCACCTACCAGCCCATCTGCTGGAGACAGCATCTCTGCTAAGCCCGTGCAGACATCTCTCCAATGCATGGTAGATCCTGTCCTCCGTGCACGTGGTGTGCTGCATTTTAATTCATCTCCTAAGGAAAGAGAAGGAAGAAGGTCAGAGCTTAGCTGAGAGCATGGTGACACTCCTGTGGTGCGCACAAGATGCTCCTGGTAAAATGTCCTGCTGTTGCTGCCTCCTGGCACCTTTTCCAACCCCAAAGCCAATGACATTCACCCTTTGTTGTCCTCTTCTCTCCCAGTCCCTCCCAATCATGGCAAAGAAAAGGAGTTGCACACATCCATGACCAACTGTGAGGCTGTAGGACCAAGGCACCCAGCTCAACCCACTGCAGGCGTATCTGCTGCCTCATTGCTTCCACCTGTGGCACAGATGGAGTCTTGCTTACATGTTTGTGGGTTAGCCTCCATCAGAGATAGCATTGCAGGAGCTTACAGCTGCAGCACCCTGCAGGGGAAAAGCAATGGCAGCCTTCAAGATACCATTGCTTGCATTATGTGTGGATCATCCTTGGTGCCTCCAGCACTGTCCCCTTGCTGCTGTGCAGCCAACGTGGACAGGATGCCGTGTGGCCCTGTGGCAATGCTGGAAAATACCAATGGGACCTCAGCCCCAGCATCTATCTACAGGCATTGTGAAACTCTGGACTGTGTGCCTGGCTGTGCCCCTTTCACAAAGTGCTGCTGTCTCAGCTCTCCCCACGGCTCAGGTGCCAGCCCAGACCTCAGATAGACTGCACTGGGGACATGAGGATTTTATCCCACCCACTCCAAACACTGGGACATCAGGAAATCAAAAGCCATTTGCCCAGAACCTCTCCTTAGATCTGCTCCACCTCTGAGCAAAGAGGTGCCCAGGGCAGAGAGTCCCTCATCCCCTGCAGTGCCAGCCCTGCCTTCGCCAGAGACCTCGGGACAGTCACCTCTCTGCTCCCAGCACACAGAGAAAGGCTCTTGCCTTTTGGTTACAGGTGGCACAAGCGCATGAAAATATTCCAGGAAAAGGAAATAAAACTTGCCAATATTACAAAAGACACCTGTCAATGAGACTTTTGCTGTCAACCTGGCCAGGACAGTTGTACATTTCCCAAAGCTACCCCAAAATGTTTGATTTCTTCTATTCGGTCAACACTCAATGCTCAGCAGACACTTCCCCACCAGCAGGAGCAAAAACTGAGGGATCTCAGCAGAGGGGTCCCTCCGTCTGCCCAGTGCTGGCTGCTAATAAATAGCCCCTAATTGCCATCAGTCCCTCATAAAGTCCCCCCCAGGGCTGAGGCTCCGGTCCCAACACTCACCATCCCTCAGTTCCGAGCAGATGAAAGTGAAGCCATCTGGAAGCACTGACCTGCATGGGAGATCTCTCCTTTGCCCTGAGAAGGCTCCCGTGCTCCTGCCCCACCTGCCACTGCCACAGTTTGCTCTTACATCTTCTAAAGTTTTGCACATCCACAGTGTGAGGAACGCCCGCGAAGCGCCCTGCTGCTGTGCTGGGGACTGACTGAGAGCGGAGCTGCACAGCACCTTAGTCATGACTTGTGGTGCAAGCAGTGACTAAGAGCACGGCGTGACTCACCAGCACCGTTCCAACACCCTGCTCACAGAAATACACCTCCTGCACGTCAGCTTGCTCCAGAGCACAGCTCGGCTCTCGGAGGGGAAGGGTGATGAGGTGAGCCCCATGCCAGCCCAGCTGCCCCTTCCCAACGCCTCAGCACAGAGCAGGCAGGGAACATAAGGGTGAAAGATGACAAAGATTTTATCGTTGCGTTCTAAACCAGAGAAAACACAGAGCCTTTGTTTTCTTTTCCCTGGTGTGCTACGGACCACACAAGGATTCAACCCAACGGCTGCTTACAGAGGCATCTTTCATGGGAGAGCGCTGCGTGTTCACCGCAAGCAAGAGGGAACTTTTCAACCTCTTCTGCTGTTTATTCCCCAAACTCTCCCTTCCTTTCCACCCACACTGGGCAAAATGACACAAGGCAAGGGACAGTTGTGGATGTAATCGGACTTCCCACAGAGCTGGGAAGAAACCAGGGTTAAGGTCAAGGGTTCAGATCGATGGGAGGGTGGGTAGGCATTGATTAAAAAAAAAAACAAAAAACAAACAGAAATCTGTCCTCTCCCTCCCTCCAGCCAGACTCCCAGCAGCAGAGCTGTTAGATCTTGACCCTCCCTGCAGGCTGGCTGGTGCGAGGTGCTTGGAAGGGATGGCACAGACACTGCAGGGTGAAGCTGTGGTCACGTTTGCAGCACGCCAAGGGGGCCCCAAAACCCTCATCACCAAGAGTGATGGCTGCCTGGCTCACATCTAAGCAGAGCAGCATGTTGCAGAAGCCGTGGGTTTCCCTGCCTTCTTGCCCCTTGCACACAGCTTGGACCCCAACATCAACTATGGGACTTCAAGTCCTGGATGTCCCTAAGACAAGATTGCTTTCTTTTCTCCAGTAGTAACAGTGCACACTGTGAAAGCAGCCTCCCAGCACTGGGAAAGTTGTCATCACCACTTACATAGAGAAGTCAATGCTTGGAAACATCAAGTAGCTTTTCTGCTGTCCTACAGCGAGTTGTGGCACAGCTGGGAGGAGAAGGCAAACCTTCAGCTCTCCTGGCACATTCCTTATCCTCATAAAGTCCTCATGCTACATCAGCAGTCAGAAGGGGTTGGAATTCTTCACAGCACAGCTAGACCTCATCCACTTGGAGCCCTCTCTGCCTCCCATCATGCAATCCATACATATGGCTGCTTAGCAGAGGCAAGCATCTGCTCCTCAGTGCCCATGGAATCATCTCCTCCTCCACCACTGCCCCAATGGAGGTAGCAGGAGGAACTGACACAGACCAAGAGCAGAACCAGGAACCACAGCATGGATCTGGGCACAGGACCTCACAACAAAAGTACAGTTGGCTCTGTCAGCCTTGCATCACACCAGCAACATTACTGCTGTGACAACACTGAAGCTTTCTGGTTTCCTTCGGAACAGAGCATTCTTGCCTCGTGGCTTTGTTTTGGAGAAATGAGCAACAATTTAAGCAATGCCACAAGCACGGGGCAAAGGATCCTGGGGCGTCTGTGAAATTGTCCCAGCAACCCAAATGGATGCAGAGGTTTCCAGTTGAGTTTGCTTCTTCTGTGTGTCACAGTTAAAAAGGTGGGCAAAGCAATCATGTTTTTCCTGTTAACCCGCGCTGATTAGGTAAGCACTCATCCCTTGGCACAAAGAGGGGATTCACTGATTGCTGTTCTCCTGCTTTCAGGCAGAAAGTTTGCCAAAATCCTGACGTTTTTGAAGCATTTATTTATGGATTCTCCTGCTGGCTTATGAAACTTGAGGCCACAGAGAGCCCTCAGGCACTCCCAGCTCCAAGACGCGTTTTCCACTCTGCTGACACAGTCTGTGGTTACCCTGCTTGCCTTTGGTGCCTTCAAACCTTTCCTTTTCTCAGCTTTCCAGCTCAGGGTTAGAACAAATGAGACCTGAGGCCCTTGGTGCCCAAGTGCTGCTGCCCCTCTGCATAGAGTCAAGGATATGAGAGAGGCCACCAGCAGCTCCACGTGGTGGGGACAGGGCAGGTGAGAAGGTGACTTGGGAGGCACACATCTGCTTCTCTGCATGGTGGGGCACCTTTCTGTGTTAAGGTCCACATAAGCCCTAGCTGTCATCCAAAGAACTTCCCTGGTTTCCTTCTACTGTGGTGGAGCCCAGGACACCACTATGAGATGGGAACAGAAGGAGATGCTCAGAGACTAAATCCAGTGTTGGTCTTCCCAAGTGAAGGAGTGAAGAGAATTAAACCATCTTCTGTGGGTACACCGGGCACTACCTACCCCAGCAGCAAGCAGATTCCTGCCTGCCCACCCCAGTGCTCTCAGAGGCAGCACTGCAGCCAACATCCTGCTGGCTCCCAGCCACCTTCCCAAAGAGGAGAAATGCAGGCAGACATCAAATAAGTCGAGATCTCCCCTTCCAGAACAGCAAATCCCGGCAGTATCTCCTGTGGCTGGAAGTCCTCCACCTTCCTGCAGGGAAACCTGAATTGGGAAGCACAGCCCTGCTCTCCAGAGAAAGCCCCTGGGTACTTTCACAGCCAGATAACTCCCTTTCCTGCCCTGATTGCTTTGAGGCCGCTGGCCAAGCATCCCAAGCAGGAAACAGGAAGGAAAAACAAGTGCTTGACCCACGGGAGCAGGTCATGAACACACTGCCCAGGTCCATGGGCAGTGGCAGCGGGTGGAAGGATGGAAGGACAGATGTGGGTTGACTTGCAAAGCTGCTGACCCATGGGTTAGCACAAAGAGGGACCTCAGCACTTGGCTTGCTGCTGCAGCAGGGCTTAGGGCACTGGGGATAAAAGCAGCGATTCTGATGAGGATAAAGGAAAAAGGAGCTTGGGCTGATGCTGCAAGAGAAGGAAAAGCACTTAATTGGGAATTAAAGCAAATGGATTCTAAGGAGAGCTATTTTTCAGGGCAAGGTCCTCCTACCAGTGCATCAGCAGGGATCTTGGGCAAGGTCATGTGCCCCAGGCAATACTTGCTTGCTGCCTCCCTGGAAGGTGCAACAGGAGCAGAGCAGCACGGGAGCCCTGGGAGCTGCATCCCCACTGCACTGCAGCAGATGGTGCATGCGTGGTTTCTGCTCCACCAACAAAAACATCTGCTTTTCTTAGATTGCACTGAGCTCTTGGCTTTAACTATCCTTAGCTTGCAGGATTTTATTGCTACCTCTACACCGTGCACAGGAACCAAAGATAGAAACTCAGAGCCGAGAGCAGGAGCAGCTGGAGGAAGTCTTTGTAGAAATCAGGGCAAAGAGGGGAGGAACCTGCGAGTTTTAAGATTCAAACTTCAACCATGATGTATTTACAGCTCAGGCGAGCGCCGGTGCATCAAAGAGCAGCAAGATGGAGGTGATAAGATGCTTGTTCAAGCTGCATAAAGGCAGCATATCAGAAGATCCTGGAGGCAACTGGTTTGACAAACATCCTTTTGGGGCGCTTGCAAAGGACAGTGTACCATGCAAACACCCCAGCACCACATTATTTCCTTACAGACCCACAGGTTCCTGTCCTGCTGAGCAAGCACAAAAGCTGCTTTTAGCCCAAGAAGTAACAGCACTTTATGCCTTGGTGGGGATCATGACTGACCTTCGCTCCTTCGGCTGCAAAACCTCACCTCCAGGGAGCCTCCATAACAGAGAAGCAAAGTAAGAGCAGAGAAGCCGTGGTACAGGCTGCCCATGGAAGCTGTGGATGCTTCATCCCTGGAAGTGCCCAAGACCAGGCAGCCAGCCCAGAGGGATGGACCTGGGTGGGTTTAAGGTCCCTTCCAACTCAAACCATTCTGTGATGCTATGACATGGAGCATCTTGTCCAAAACCTGACTGATAACACCCAAAGGGAGCTCTTATTGAACCCTGGCACAGAAGAACCAATGACATCAACCACTGATGAGGCCACAGCGGGCAAACACAAGTGAGATCTGCTTGGGTGACAGCACCCACATCCCTGCAAACCACCCACACACAAACCCACTACATGTTGGCTTGCCCAGAGCACCGCCTCTACTGCTGCCAAGTAAAAGTACTGGTTTGAGAATGAGCCCAAAGACTGACAAAATTGCCTTGGGTTACTTGAGAAGAGGAGAGGGTCCAGAGGAGAGCCACAAAGATGATCAGGGTTCTGGAGCACCTCCCGTATGAAGACAGGCTGAGGGAGCTGGGCTTGTTCAGCATGGAGAAGAGAAGGCTGCGGGGTGAGCTCATTGCAGCCTGCAGTACCTAAAGGGAGCCTACAAACAGGAGGGGAGTCAACTCTTTGAAAGGGTAGATAACAGCAGGACAAGGGGAAATTGTTTGAAGTGGAGGGAGGGAAGATTTAGGTTGGATGTCAGGGGGAAGTTCTTCACAGAGAGAGCGGTGAGGAGCTGGAACAGCTGCCCAGAGAGGCTGTGGATGCCCCGTCCATCCCTGGAGGTGTTCACTGGTAGGTTGGATGGGGAGCTGGGCAGCCTGGTCTGGTATTAAATGTGGAGGTTGGTGGCCCTGTCTGTGGCAGGGGTTGGAGATTTATGATCCTTGAGGTCCCTTCCATTCTGTGATTCTGTGAGAAATGCACCCTGCAGAACTGCCCCCTCTCCTCATCCGTGAAGCACAGAACTGAACTACTCAGGACAACCTACAAACATTGATCACACCAAGGTCCCCATGAAGCAAAGAGCTGAATTACTGAGGGCAGGTGACAAATGTGAATCACACCAAGGCCCCCCTGATGCTATCTGCTGTACTTACACATAGTGAAAGACAGCCAACAGGCAAGCAAAAAAAAACAACAGGAAAAAGGATGTACTGCTACCCCTTCCCTCTTTTTCAGCGCTGGAAAGGCACACTGAGGGGTGACCAAATGC